CCGCTGTTTACCCAATGTGTTTACCTTTACCCTAACCAAACGATATTTAGCTTTTTGTGTATCGTATGTGCCCCAGCAGGGAACAGTTGGATGTAGTGGGGATCTTGCACCGTTGGCTCATCTTGCCCTAGGACTTATGGGTGAAGGTAAAATGTGGAGCCCAAGCACAGGGTAAGTTGCTTACCAAGTAGGTTAAGGACTGTATCATTCGAGTGGAGCATACTCTTCCAGATGGGATAATGCTGACGTGGTATTGAAGAAGAATAATCTGAAACCTTTGGATCTTGGCCCAAAGGAGGGGCTAGCGCTAATCAACGGTACACAAATGGTTACTGCTCTAGGAGCTTTCGGTAAGTTACAGTATCCCATATTCCTGCAAATCCATAGGTGCCTGATTTTTAGCGCTGGAAAGAGCTCATAACATAGCCAGACAAGCCGATGTGATAGCTGCTTTATCCCTAGACGTTCTCAAAGGGACCACTAGGGCCTATGACCCAGATATCCACAAAATTCGCCCCCATAAGGGTCAAATCCAGTCTGCGCTTCGTCTGCGCTCTCTACTGCATTCTGATGCAAATCCATCGCAAATAGCAGGTAATTTTCAATTTTTAGCGCTACAGGATATAATTTGAATTTTCAGAGTCCCATCGAAACTGTAACAAGGTTCAAGATGCGTATACGTTGCGTTGTGTGCCACAGGTAGGATCGATTTCAAATTACAGTAATGGTTACCTATTGGCAGGTGCTATACTTAACGTGTCAAGGTGTTCAGAACCACTGAGCAAAGGCGCGGCACTGAATGACGGGCATTTGACATTTGGTGTCACGTAGGCAAAAGCGAGCGTGGCATTTATGAGAATTCGCAGAAAACAATGTTCTTCCCATTCTCAAAATTAGACTTTTACTGCAAAGAAGAGTTATGTTAAATTGCAAATATTCAAGCGCAATGTCATTTGTTTCTCAATCTTGCCCACGCGACACCTAAAGGCAATCAGTGCATACATGCTTGACCAGTTTTGAAACGTTTTACAAATGGGTATGGACCCCAATGCGTCGAAATTATATTATATAAACTTTAATTTTTTTTTGGATTTGCTTCCATTTGGGAAAACCC